AATCAGATTTTGTGTTGGAAGTCTGCGAGTAAAAAAAGACTCAACTGCACTCCCGTCTGCTTGTCTCCTTTTTATCAACTTCCACAGGTATATCAATGTGTTAAATGAGGTGAAAAGGCAAAGGAGCTAAATGACTTCTGCAGATTTGAGACCAGAAACTTTTCAAAAGAGCAACAGGCAGCTCTGGACTGTATACCTGCTTTGGACTCTGCAGAAATCATCCTTGATCAGCATGTCGCAGAGAGACTTTTCTCACATATCTGTGCCAGGAAGACCTCTGGACCAGATGGCATCTCTGGGTGTCTATTAAAAGTCATGCAGCAAGGAGCCAGCACAAGCCTGGTGCCCCATCTTTAAGAAGTCAATAGACACTTACTCTGTCCCTGCTATCTGGAAAAGTTCTATCATCATACCTATGCCTGCAAAAGCAAGCATGTGACACATCCGAATATTTTTTGGAAATACAGAGGTTTGTCAAATGGTGTGTGACAATCATCTTGTTTTGAATGCCAACAAAACAAAAGAGATTGTGTTTGATTGGTGACCACAGGCCTGTGGTCATCCACAACCTAACTATTGCCCAGGTTAACTCCTACAAATATATTGGTGTCTTCATTGATAACACACTAACCTGGAGCACACATGTTGACTGCCTCTGCAGCAAACTGCAACAACGCTTGCATTTCTTGCACCGCTTATGAGCTCATGGAGTGGACAAAAAGATCATGCTGATCTTCCATCAGGCAGTTCTGGGGAGCCTAATCAGATATGGCATTACGGCTTGGTTTGGCAACCTCTCTGCACAGCTGAGAAATAAGCTGTTGCGATTAATCCACACTGCGTGGGAAATTATGGCCGCCAGAGAGCACTCATCCATGCAGAGCATTTACGAACAGGCCACATCGTGCAAGGCAAACAAAATAATTGCTGATATGTCTCATGCCCTGCACTCAGAGTATGAGTTGTTACCTTCAGGAAGAAGGTTCAGAGTTCCCCAGTACAGATTTAACCTCTCTAACTCCGCTCGAACACCCACGTCCGCGCTCCCTCCCTCCTCTGTTAAATGGTATCTCCCAGGCGCACTACGTCATCAAACCATGTGATGTTTGGTATTGCCGGTTTCAGGAAGCTCTCGACTAGGGATGGGTACCGAACCCCGGTATTGAACGAGCCCCGGGGCTACATTCTTCAAGACCGCAGTATTGATAAGCTCTGACCTTAACGGTTCTGCTATCGGTACTGGAGCAGTCGCGTCTTTTTTTTTTTTTTTTTTTTAAAAGTTAAACCTTATCTTGCACATTTATCTCACCAACTCCGTCAATTATCTGCCATTGTATCATAATTTTCGCTATTCTCCCTGAAGACGGGAGATCTGTCTCGCTCACCCTGGCTGCCTACTGTGTGTGTGACTGGAGAGCAGGGGGGCGGGGCTGTTGTTCCAGTGACATTAATAAATAACTAGAATTACTGCCTTGCAAAACAGTCATGTTGCAGTTACAGATTACATCCATGTAATCCTGTCCATACTCATATGTTACCATGACAGTTGATAATGCTTTAAATATGGACGTCGCTGCAAAGAAGGTACATGTTCTAAAATATGGATGCTTCACACACACACACACACACACACACACACACACACACACAAGACAGCGCATACACCAATTCAAGCTCGTAGCCTACCTTTAGATAGATAAATAATGGCGCAGAGAGCCAAACGGTCAAAAGTGTGGCTTTACATTACAAGAGTTGATGCAGACACAGCGCGTTGTCACAAGTGTGACAAAAGTTTTGCGTGTAAGGGCGGCAACACTAGTAATTTGTCAAAACACCTTGCGAAAGTGCATCATATTCACACAGAAAGATGTACAGTGTTTGACTGCCCTAGCACAGCTAGTTCATCTATGTCCAGTCCAGGTTTGTAACATTATGCTAGCAGCCAACACGTGGAGTTAATAACCATTAGCTATTTTGCGACCTTACTAAATAGGGATTCAGATTTGGGATTTTATTTGTGTATTTTTCAGATACTTCTAAATACATGAATATAACCATAATTATAGCCTGGGCTGGGTGCGTGGGATTTCCCCCCCCCAGTCAATATATCCATAGTGATTAATGTTACATCACCATATAAAATACCTAGAATAACTAACATACCTAGAATACCTAATATTTTTACTTGTAGGCTAGATTTGTTTATATATGCTACAGTGATTTGTTTTCGAGAGAGCTGTACGGTGCAAGCATTTTACTGCATTTGCGACTAAAAATAGTTTTGTGCAAGTAAAAGAAATCATTCAGGAGCACGCTGTGCGAATACAGATTTCAACCAGCAGCAGGCGAATCCTGTCGGTTGTGGGTTGAACGGGGGTCACAGACACAGACCGGAATACGTATTCCTGTCAAATACGGCGGCCATAGTGCTCCGCGGCGCAAGTACGGCATACCAGCGACGGAGAAGCCTGGCTCCAGGTCCAATATTTTCCTCTTTGTTGATGTCATGACTGTCCAGAAGTACCTGGACAGCTGAGCCGTGGCGGCACACAGGTATGTGGCGTGTCAGAGGAGAAACGAGCCGTTCACATTTCTCTCTTTGTGGCAGGTAACGGTCCACAAACCTCACCGCACTTTAGGGACTGATCTTTACTTATGAAGGGACTGTTCTTTACTTGTCAGGGGAGGAGGGTGGCTGGTTGATTTTTATTTTATTTATTTATTTTATTTTGATCCCCCCTATGTTAATCACTTATTGATGCCGTATGAATAAGTCAATTAGTAATTTATTTCATTGAAATATCATTCATGTATTATAGAAAAGTGATTAATGTTTTTATAAATGACAAAAGTCACATCTGCCTCATTTTTGCTGTGGTATTGTGATACTACTCAGAACCATGATACTTTCACTGGTATCGTACCATTGGTCCCAATGTTGGTACTGTGACAACACTATTGTTTTATGTGTTTTATATTTCAAGTTGTAAAAAGTAAAATGTTTTGTTAAAAAACTATTTTATTGCATAATGAGAATTGAGAAAATGAAGCAATTTATGTTCTTGATTTGTTTTTTTCTTCCTCAGAAAGTATCGATAAGAGTACCGTTAAAATACCGGATCGATAAGCAGTACCAATAAGAGTAGTAGTACCGTTAAAATCTTACTGATACCCATCCCTACTCTCGACTTTTCGAGAGTAGGGATGGATTTCTTATGGATTTCGCACCAGAGCAGCCTAAACACACAAAGTCCAAAATCGCGATGAGTGGTGACAAGTCATGTCATGCTGTTTTTCGAGGGGAAAAGTTAAAGGATTACTCGCAATCTTAAGTGGAGCTGAAAGAGGAGACTTAGATAATTTATAAAAGGTAAGAGTCTCACTCCTACCACTATTTTTGGGTGATATATACCGACTAGAAAGTGGGATCATAACTTTCACGTTTCATATGGCTTTATTTGGTGATATTTTATGGTGTTTCTGTGTCATAAACAACATCAGCTATCATAATCACACCTGATTTCAATAAGGTACAATGTTTGAAGCTGGCTGAGTGTTGTTTGATCACTGATAGTACTGTTTTGAAGCGGAGTGAGCGCTCTTGTCATTTGGAGCTCCGCCTGGATCTTTTCATGGAAAAAACACTAGAATGGTCATATTTTGAGCAATTTTCTTTAAATTTGAAACAAAAGTTCATTGATAGTGTGCCTACAGCCCCATACTGTCATTTACCTGCTCAGGTGAAGCCACAGACAGTTATTCATCCTGAAAATCATTTTTTATTTTATTTTAGGCAAAATCTTCAACTTTTTACTTCAGAGGCCCATTACTCTGTCTCTGTATCACCTAGAGTGTTTCTGACACTTTAACAAGAAACTTCAGAAAGTTTACTTTCTGGCAAGACCTCATGCATGCATGTAGTCAGAGAGGTTCAGAAGCTACAGAAATTTTAATTTGGGTATGTCATTTTAGGCGTTTTTGCTACAAAATGGGGGTGGAGTGCAAAAACTCCTTTGTCCCTGATTCTATAAAATTTGTTAACAGTGGCAGATAAAGCCAACTGCACTTTACTTTATGGCTGCTGTTTTAAATTGCTGTATGCTGTTTATTTTATTTTATTTACTGTTATGATTTACTATTCATCACTATGTTGTACTATTTATTGCCTGCTGCACTATTTATCTACTGACTATGTTACTATTTATTTATTATCTGTTTTTATGTTGTGTTACCAGTGTGGCTGCAGCAGGGGTGAAAAAGCCCAAGACAAATTTCCCACTTGTGGGACAATAAAGTTAATCTTGAATCTTCTCTGCATCTAGACCCCTCATCACTCCACACTGATCCCCTTAAGATGTTCTTGAGATATTGCGTTCACAAGAATGAGAATGATGCAAGGTCACAGTGACCTTGACCTATGACCATAAAAATCTGTAAGTTCTTCGTTATGTCCAAGTGGACGCATATGCAAAATCTGGAGAAGTTCCCTGTGGGATTTGTGAGATATCATGGTGATGACAATGGTACAGATGCAAGGACAGACGGACAACCCAAAAAACATAAAACCTCTGGTTATGGCTATCATCTCGGTGGAGGCATAAAAACAGCTACACAGTATCTTTTTACAACTTGTTCCCTGAAAACAACGCTACAAGACCAGTGAAAGTGTTAAGTTTTGGGTCTGAAAGATAAACAATGAACTGAAACTCCATAAAACCCAGAGGAGCTGCAGATTCCACTGATCATTTTGTACCAGAGAAACACAGCAGGTTATTTGTACATCGTTATAAAAAATGTTATATAAACTGACCCTGGAGCTCTGTTTACAATAAAATCCCTCAAAAACTGGTTAAATAAAGTCGACTATACAATGAATACAGACTGAAGAAAAATTGGAGGCAGAGAAACAATAAGGTGCCATGAATCAATCAATGGCTGTAGAGCTGTTATTTTTTACTTCTATCGGGTGACGTGATGCTGCAGGTGGATGAATACTTAACCATTCAGATAGACATCATGCTTCCAGACTTCTCTCTGGCTTTGGTCTCGGACTGTTAAAGTCACTTCCTCCTCGTTTGTAGGCAGGCGGATCTCAAATGTTGGGTGGTAATTTGGTCCAAACTCCACGTCAAACTCTGCTTTCTGAAAACCAGTGTAAATACAGCTATAATATCCAGTTAACTAAAGGAAACCAACAGTAGTTTGTTAGTGCTGTAACATGCTGACACGATTCATCAGAGACTTTGATTCAAAATACTCACCTTAGGTTGTATTTTAATGGCCTGAGGACAGTGAACAGTGTAACTATGATCTTGGATGAGTTTACATGTGGAAGGAGCCTCAATGTAAACAGAATTTCGTCGTTTTGAGCTCACCTTAGGAGACATCAGAACATTTACATTTACAACTTGGTTTATCCTCCATAGAGACAGACTGATAAATATATCTAATTACAGATATATCGGTTTTATGTAGATTGCTACGTAACAACAAATATCAGCACTATGGGGCAACAACTAACCATTATTTTCATTATCAATGAATCTACTGGTTTGATCTACAATGTTGGAAAATAGTGAAAAATCAAAAATGACATGTCTTCAGGTTGAGCAGTGACACAGTTTTAGTAAAAACAACTGTTTCAGTGTTAATATGAAACCTAAATGTTATTTTATGGCGGACTTGAAAAATTACTAAACTTTAAGAAAAATAAGATGACAGCTGTAACATGAAGCTTTACCTCGTCCAGAGGGATGTTTCTTGGCAGCAGAAGTACATTGAGTTTTTGCCACTGTGTTTTAGGGTTTGGTTGTCCAAGGAACAGCAGAATTTGACCACTGACTGGTATTTTCAAAATCCCCCTTATGACGTTCCAGAGAAGGCCAAAGGCAGAGAGGTGAGGGACACTGACCACCACATGAGTGTCTGTAACCTTCAGTGGGTTGAGGATGCTCATTCCATTGTCAGTGATGTGGACGACAGACAACTGTTGCTCAGGGATCAGAACTGTAAAAACACGAAGCTGTTAAAGTACAAGTAAATCATAAATAAAATGTGTAGTGAGTTTTTAGTACATAGAAAATTTGTTATTAAGCATCCAGCCAAATTTTAATACTTAAAAAAAGTCGGCAAGTATAAAATTATGTTTCAAAATCATGAAATAATAGGCAGTATTTCCTGTTCTGACACGCTGGGGGCATTTTTACTTTTTTGTTGGATCAAAAACGTACCACACCGTGACACCACTGTATCATGCTGAACTGAAACGTTACACCCCTACTACAAGGTTTTTAACACAGGACTTATGCTTCTGCTCTAAAAAGACATTGTACTTACAGTGAGGCTCTGTGTAGACGCATACCCTACGCCCTAGTATGAGGGGCCGTACAAGCCATAATTCATTCTCACCCTCTCACACATATACATTCTCCTTTCACATACATATATTTTCACTCTTCTTTCACATACCTATATTTTCACTCTTCTTTCACATACATATATTTTCACTCTTTTTTCACATACATATATTTTCACTCTTCTTTCACATACATATATTTTCACTCTCACACACATACATTCTCCTTTCACATACATATATTTTCACTCTCACACACATACATTCTCCTTTCACATACATATATTTTCACTCTTCTTTCACATACATATATTTTCACTCTCACACACATACATTCTCCTTTCACATACATATATTTTCACTCTTCTTTCACATACATATATTTTCACTCTCACACACATACATTCTCCTTTCACATACATATATTTTCACTCTTCTTTTACATACATATATTTTCACTCTCACATATATATACACTTTACTTTTCAACACATACACATAGGCTGCAGTCGAAAAGTCTTTTTTGCTTAGGAAGGTTCCTAGCTGAGTGAAATGACCCGGAAGTAGTTTAGTGGCCGCCATGATAAGAGCTGTTCGAATTCTCTAAACACTAAGGAAAGGAGGTAGCCCGGGCGTTTATTTCACAAAATCGACTTTGGCCCCAGGCATTTAAAAGAACCAGGGGCTATTTGCTCAAGGCTTTTTTTTTTTTTTTTTTTTTTTTTTGCACCGACCTGCACCAGGTCGTTATTTGGTTACAGTTCCTGTCCAGTATGTTTTTAGTGCAAAAATACTGTATAATGTAGGGGTGAGTTCATGTACAAAAATCTCTAAACATTTAGAGTGGGTCATTTTTTTCGTGTACACGTGTACACGGGTTTCACTGCTGGGTGGTGCTATTGCATTATACCAGTAAAGCCCCAGTTATCCGAATACCAACCGAACGGGCCATTTAACCAACAGTTACAGGCTGCCATCCCGACGGTCCGCCATCCCGAATTCTGGTCCCTGAGTCCTCACAGTAAGCTATGGCGAGCCTGTAGAAGCTGTATTCCCCATGCATGTCAGCGATTTTCACCGGTGATGCACGTGAGTAATTCAGGCTGACATTACCTGTTTTTCAGCAAACTCTTCTGGTAATTTTGTCAAAAGGCATGGCATATAGGTCCACAGTAACTTATTATTATTATTATTATTATTATTGGGTCTTATAAGAATGGGCTACAATGAGTACCGGGCCACCAAATCACAGCATCTGTGGTGAGAGGACACGGAATTGTGTGCGCTTATACGCACGCGGGTCAAGGCGATCACAGATATTTGATGTGGGAAAGATGTAGCCAGATGTAATTACCTGTTTTAGATACGTGGCTGTCTGTCCGTCCGTCCGTAGCACGAGTCATGTGCACCACTTCACCACCGACCCATGCGTAAAAGCGCAAACAGTCCCTCAAGGAGGGACAGCCATGAGGCATTTTACATTTTACTACTTGGGATTCAGATAGTGTGAGCAAACATGCTCAATGTGACAATTTCGTTTCAGTTTGTGGCTGGTAGCCTATATTCCTTTTTTTAATTCAATTCCGACCTTAGTAATTAAACAATATCTTTCACCGTGTTGTCCACGTTTATATATCCTGCATGAAACAACACGATGAGAACGTACGCCCCATACGTGCTCATCGTGTGCATTTTGTAGTCCATCTTCAGAACACTGTAGTTTCACCACAGCAGACCCACGTCAATAACATCCTTCTCAGCCAATCACAGCGCGATAAATTCTTCTTCTTCGTTTGGTTTTATGGCGCGTTGCAACCATTGCTCATTAGGTGTATACCGCCACCTACTGTACCGGAGTATGTAGACAATAAATGGATTGCCTTCCGTTTCCACTATACTCCTTCTGTTTCCACTATACTCTTACTCACACATGCATACATTCTTCTCTTACATACATATATTCTCTTTCAACATACATACATTTTCCTTTTATATACATATATTACGTATAGTATTAAATGTATACATGATTGCATGTGCATGAGAGCAAAGTATATGAATGTGTGCATAAAATATATGAATATGAGAGAAAAATGTATCAGTGTGTGTGTTCAAATATATAAATGAGAGTGAAAATATATGAATGTGTGAGTGAAAATGTATAAATGTGTGAGAAAAAAATATATGAATGTGTGAGTGAAAATGTATAAATATGAGAGTGAAAATATATGTATGTGTAAGGAGAATGTATATATGTGAGAGGGTGAGAATGAATTATGTCTTGTATGGCCCCTCATACCCTAGCCTGACGTGTGCACCGAGCCAGAAATGTAACTACACATCACAGAGATGCAAACCTCCTGCTTATTTTTGTAAGCTATAAACCATTTCCCTCAGTGGAAGCAAAGCTTTTATTTTCTCTTATTTCACAAGCCCCTTTTACACTGCCAGATTTTCCGCGAATGTTGGGGCATTTTGCAGGCAAGCTGCGAGCGTTTAGACACACAGAGGCGGATTGGTGAGTTGCTCCGAGGTGCCCAATTTTCCGCCTCGTAGGGTAGTCATATTGGCGGAACTCTTTTAGTTTAAACAGATCGAGGCGGCCTTCCGCAACGGAAAGGGCTGTTGATGACGCTGCACGTGCAAGCCACTGGCGGTGGATAAACAGGAAATAACTGATAGCAGAAATTAGCGAGGAGCTAGTAGCAAGAGGGAAACACAAACCTGACAGACACTGTAAAGATGAGAAACTGGGGAGACAAAGAATTGTGCGCCCTCCTTGCCGGCACGGGGACGGTGACGAACGGGCCGACTTACGAGAGAATCACCAAAGGACTGACCAGCCACGGCTTCCCTCCCACGTCACTGTTTACGTCACACGCTGAGCCACACGTTTTGTTACTTGCTCACGCCCCCCATTGCCCCAAAAAAGGCACATTCTGTATAAACAAAAGTAGGTAGGCGGCATTTTGCCACACTCCCCGATTTAGTTTTTATACTGCCAATGCTGAAAAAAGACTTTACTGCAAATTTGCACAATTCCTGTCTAAAAAGAGCTACAGATAAGAAACATTAATTGTGAAGTCAATAAAGCCCCCACAAAAAAAGCATTTTAAAGCAACACTTACCTTTCTGGACAATTTAAAATTTTCTTTGTATAGGTTAAAATGCTATTAATAAGCTGATGGCACACTGAAATGTAAGTGAATTCCACCAGAGATGAAAACTCATAATTATACCATTCTCATATGGTTCTAAGAAAACTCCGACCAATCACTGCATTCGGACCGAATGTCTAAGTGCTGTGTGAAATGCAAGAAAGGTAAGAGTTGCTTTAAGTCATGTGTATGATTTATCCTGACTTTATAGGAGTAGAGGAGAGTCTTTTAGCCAATTCTAGGCATGTAAAATGTCAAAGGCTTATGCTACTAACATTAGCATGTTGTATATTTAAGGAAAACATGCCTAGTACAAGACAATTCTTTTGTCTGTAAACCTTTTGAGTTATAATGGAGCCTAGCTTTGTAATGTTACCTTTGTAAAATTGATGCTGTTGTTCCTGGCTTCACAGTAGAGGTAAACTCTGCTTGCTGCTAGGACAATTTATGCAGTGTAAAATGTCAAAGGTCTGTGCTAATAAGGTAAGAATAAGAATAACTTTATTCATCCCCAAGGGGAAATTCAATTATCTGTCAGCTCATCTATTATATGTCAAAGAATTATAAAGCCTGATGGCTGTTGGTATATAGGATCTTCTGTATACCAACAGCCATCAGGCTTTATAATTCTTTGACATCACATGTTGCTAAGAGTGTGGAGAAAATGTAACTAACAAAAGACAAGTGTTTCGGCTGTAAACCTTATCAATAATAATGAAGCCAATTTGTGTACTTGAACAGATAAATCATCAGGAGGTTGTTTATACAGACTGTAGGTATAATGAACTGTGTAGTCAGTAGGAGGTGCTAACAGGAGATTTTTTCATTGTTCTAACAAAACTCTTAAACTAATCTCTTACCATCCATAGTTTCACAGTGTGGGAGGTGGAGCTGACAGACAGCAGCGTCCTCAGAGCACTTGATTTTGAACAGTGGCCCTGCCGCCATCTTGCTTGCTGATTGGAGGAAGTTCTCATCCCACTGGACAATGCTGTACTTTAGCTCCGCCTTCTGAGCCATAACAAACACCAGTTCCGTCAAATCACACTGGAAAACACCTGCATGAGGACATCTGAACCTGCAGGACACAGAAGGGCTGATTACAACGACCCTCAAATAATTTGCAGACAATCTGCATGTTTATTCATCTTGTACGGCATGGTTTACATGTTTCAATCTTTCTTTCTGCGTCGTGACAACCTGCGATACATCTGACTGTCCAACAGATATCTAATTGATAATTTGCAGGATTGATCAAGTGTCATGACCTCAAACTGTACATTAAACAAAAATAGTCTTTAAAATAAGTTAATAAATAACTAGAATTACTGCCTTGCAAAACAGTCATGTTGCAGTTACAGATTACATCCATGTAATCCTGTCCATACTCATATGTTACCATGACAGCTGATAATGCTTTAAATATGGACGTCGCTGCAAAGATGTTCTAAAACATGTTCTAAAATAAGGATGCTTCACACACACACACACACACACACACACACACGCACACACACACACACACACACAATCTACCCCCAACAGCCCAGCAGATCTATACAATTAACACAGTTTCAAGGTAGACACTAGGGCTGGGCGGTATGAAAAAATTTCATATCACGTTTTTTTTAAAAAATCATATCCGTTTCACAGTATTTGTTTGGGCTATTCACCAGTATTGTGGTATATGAAAAATTCATATTATAATGAAAATAAATACCAGTATACCGCACAGCCCTAGTGGACACCCAAGATTAGTGTCACCAATTCAGTATCTGACCAAATGTCTCCCCTTATGTTCCTGAGATATGACATTGAGTAATGGTCAGAAATGTGTTTCTGCAGAATATTATCATGTCACAGTGAAGCTGACCTTTGATCTTTTGGATATAAAATGTCATCACTTCATAATTTTATTAGACATTTGTGTAAAATGTTGTCATAATTAGCAAATGGATTCTTGAGTTACGGCCAAAAACATATTTTGTGAGGTCACGGTGACCTTGACCTTTGACCAAATTCGAAATCAAATCACTTAACTGTTGAGTACAAGTAAATGTTTGTGCCAAATTTGAAAAAATAATTCCCTCAAGGTATTCCTGAGGTATCATGTTTGCGAGAATGCGACAGACGAGGTTGCAGTGCCCTTGGCCTTTGACCACCAAAATCTAATCGGTCTTGTATCAGTATTGTTGGATCCAGGTGGACATTTGTGCCAAATCTGAAGAAATTCCCTCAAAGTGTTCTTTAGATAGCGCGCTCACAAGAATGAGACAGATGAGGTCACAGCACCCTTTGACCACCAAAATCTATTTAGTTCATTGTAGAGTCCAAGTGGATGTTTGTGCCAAATCTGAAGAAATTCCCTTGTGGTGTTCTTGAGATATTGCATTCATAAGAATGAGATGGATAGACAACCCAAAAACATAATGCCTCTAGCCATGGCTACTGCCAGAGAGGAGGCATACAAACAGCATCTGCCTATTAACACAGACATTAACACAATAACTATCCAGCTTTTGGCCTGATAATAAGTCATATAAAGGCTGCATTGTTTAAAAAGTTGTGGACCAACTGAGTGAACCAGCAGTATGGAGTATGAAGCAATGAAAGGAGTTGAAATGATAGTTGATGTGTGTCAACAGGTCTCTGAAGCTGTTCTAAACATCCAACATGCAGTTCTGATAGAAAATACCAATGCTTTCATCACCAATTTGAGCCAAACTGTACTGAAAAAGGTGGATTTTCAATATAAGTGTAGGCACTGAAAGGGGGTGAAGTGTTGGTTTAAGTGTAAATGCTGCAGGGACTTGACCTGGTTGAAATATCCTGCAGTTTTTGAGTTGATTACCTGTATGTAGTCTTTCCAGACTCAGTCAGCAGTTCAGGTGTGAATTTTAACTTGACCTAAAATTGAAAAAGCCACAAAAAAAATTCATTAGAACACAGTAGTTGGCCAAAGAATTAAAAGTTCATTGCTGTTTGAAAGGGTGTACTTTTAATACTTTTATCATCTTCACCATATATATATATGTACACATACACACATAAAATGACAGTAATATGGTTTATCCCAATTATTCGATCGTAACAGGCCTAGAAAGGGGGGAAATACTAAGAAACTCCAGTCTGATCACTGATAAATTAACAAAAATGTTAAAATGAAAAACTGACTTTTGAATTCAGAGCCTCTGTACACAGAAGCTGCTGCTGCCTCAACCTCTCTGGATCTCCAGGGCATAGCTGATCCATTTCATCCACAGTCTCCTCATTTCTGTCAGACACATCGAGGTTTGGGTTTGATGTGGACAGACCTGGTGGGTGATAAGAGTCATCAGATGGAGAGAAGGAGACAAGCAGCAGATGTCAAACACACTTAATAAACCTGTAAACAGCAACGTCCCCAGTTCAAGGCGACCAGTGCCCTTTTTAGCACATCTTTCTTCTTGCGTTTCATGTCATCTACCAGCAAACCGTCCAATGAAGTCAAAATGTTGGCAAAATTCTGTTTAAGTCAAGACCAAGTCCAAAGGGGGTTGATACCAAGTTAAGACAGAGTCCATACAATAAAATGTATCCAACAATGACAGAGACGGAGATTCATGACATTGGCCCAATCCCAATACAACCCTTACCCCTACTACAGAGCCTTTACCCCTCCATTTTACGCGTTCAGGTCAAGGTGTAGGTTGTCCTGATAGAGGCATAGAGCAAACTGTTTGGGCTGCATGGCACTCCAAACTGAGGTTTTTCAGAAGCACACCTCAAAACACCTCAGTGTTATGACAAATCACTATTAAGACGGCTGCACAAGCAACACAAAAAAAAAACCCACATTTGTATTTTCTTCATTAATAAAGACTTACAATTACAATAACCATTGTATTGTCTTAGTTTAAATTTTTGATATGACAAGTATAACAAAAGAGCAAAGAAGCTCATATGCTGACGTCTCAGTGGCTAACTAGCTAGCTAGCTGATGTTACATTGATATATCTGATTTGTGCAGCATGACAATGAAGCATTTTGACAACCACAAAAGGATGCCTATAGCCTACACGAGAAAATCAACACAGCAGAAGACGGTATATTTGCAATGTCAGGCAACACTCATCACATCTATTTATGTGAACACCAGCATTCAAGACAACTGATGATGTATCACGGTCTTGAAGAGTTGTCCCATTTTATAGGGGAAGATTTCAACCACAAGATAGGAGTAAAAATAAGAAATGGGATTGGGCCATTCTTGCAACAAGACATCATCTTGCCCAACATGCAAAATAAAACAGAACTGCTGTGGTTACTGGTTAACCAGTGCCATAAAGCACACGGCAGCCAATTCTTTAATATGCTTTAATATATTTCTTTAAGATATTCCAGTGGGCTTTTACTCACGTCCTTCATGTCTGTCAGGTGCAGCCCTGTTTTCTCTGTCATCACGCCTGAGAGGACAAACACAAATACAGCAGTTATTTTATATGAAAAGTGGAAATAATTGCTCAAAATCACTCATCTTCCAGACTTAAGTCATTGTGACAGGTGAAACTTTAAAACTGAAGAACATAGACATATTTACTGTTACACTAACATCAAGGAATTGACCATTTATAGCAAATATACATATAATTAGATTTGTCACAAAAGACTCAGTAGTTTGAGGAAGCTCTTCATGAATCCAAGCAGTGACATGAAGAATAAAATCCCTCTTAATGATCATACATGAACATTCAATCTTAATTAAATCAAATATACTAAAAACTTGGCGTGAGTGTATCAGTGTCAGACGAATCAGTGAGGAGTGCCAGGTTATAGTGGAGACACTGTGCACCTGTATGAATATGATTAGATGTCACTGGTCAGCTGGTAGCCAAGAAGCTGATGGAGGACTGCTGGATTGCTCAGATGGACTATCAGACACTGAAAGCCGAGAATGGCCGTGCTTGTGATTATCTTTAAATGCCACATGAGCGAAAGGCAGTCAAACTCCAGTAAACAGTTGGTGCCAGGATGTTTCCCTAGTCACTGAATGGCAGTGGAGTAAGTAAGTAAGACTCCCCTCAGAGCTGGACTGTCTCGAGAAGGTTTACGGGTTGATGCTGTTCATCAGGCTCTGTTATCTGTGAGTGTAGCTGTGCTGTGACAGTCTGAACTCTGCAGAGTTTTCTTAGACGAGAGATGGAAGTTTAGTTTTAACTCTGTGAGAAATGATTTTAAACCTTCAGTCCACCGTGTTGCAGATTTAGAAAGAATTCAGGCTTTAAGTTATTTTTCTGCTTCTTAACAATGAGATTGATAAATCAGAGTTTACAATGAACCTGGGTAGAAATCCTAGTTGTCTCAGATTAGTTATTTGTGGTGCCAAAGGTTTTGAGACCATAACTAGAAAGGTGTTGATCTTTTCAAATGATGATCAGGAAGCGTGTACTCGTATATCACCCCTTAAACCTGTCAAAAACTGACCTTGATTATGATTTCTAATACATGAATTAGCCTCATTGGATTAGTTTAAGGAAAAAAATTTGTGACTAAAATGTCATGAATTTTCATCGACTAAAATGTTTTGAATTTTTGTAGACCAGACTTAATATATGAAGGATAGAAATGACTAAAATGTGTCTAAAACTAATAAACATTTTTGTCTCAAGACAGACTAAGACTAAATGTTAAACAGCTGCAAAAAATACCACTGCTGCAAATGTACCAATCATAATTGTGATTTCCTTTGCTCTGTTTGAATCATTTAGGAATGGCAGCCTGAAATCTGTTGGGTTAATGTTAGTTTGTACTGTGTGTGTTCCTCCTTGTTTACGTCTTGTTTCACTGATTGACACACTGGGTTATAATTGTGTAAATGAGTTGACATGTTTGGAGTAATCCCACTGATATAACCTACTGTTGCGTAGCAGATGTGACATACTGTGTTTTTTTATCTGCCACTCTCTCATCACCATCCTCTTAATTCACAGTGAAACCAAAGTGGCTCCAAGTGCCAAACCTGTACGTTACTGGAGGATCTTCTACTTCTGGTTTGGTAATGGCCTTACTAACTATACTGCAATGAGCTAGCTTAGCGTAACTGCCTCCCAGTTCTGTCTTACTGGAGTAGAATGTTTTGGTTTGGTGGTGGGAGGGGCAAGACAGCATGTTGCCTGTTCCGTCGTGTGGCCTGCCTTGCTGAGCGCAGTGGCACTGACAGCATTATATTAAACACAGTTTAAGCTGCATATTTTATTTTCCAAATGCTAGGCTTTTTAAAGCAGTTCAAGACCTACAGTATTCCTTATACCTTTGGCTCATATTTTTAATCTTTGCCTGCAGAAACATGTTGTCCCTGCTGAATTGATAATGGCAAAGATTATTCCACTTTACAAAGTCCACTTTTTTATCACCATATATATGTATGTATGTATATATATGTATATATATATATATATATAT